ACAGATATATACACACACACATATACATATATATATATATATATATATATATATATATATATATATATATATATATATATATATATATATATATATATATATATATATGGGTATTTTTGATGATTTATTCGGAATCGAAATATGGCCTTATTTGCAGCATGAATTTGGAAAATAAGCTTATTTTGAATTTTAATAAACTAAACGTTCACCCAAAAACTTTAGTGAAAAAAATTGAAAAAACGAACTACAAACATATTAACGCCAAACATTCGGTAGAATTTATAGAATATTGTATATATATATATATATATATATATATATATATATATATATATATATATATATATATATATATATATATATATGTATATATATACATATGCATACAGTATTGTATAAATTCTACCAAATTGTTGGCATTATTCAATTTAAAATTTGTCTTTTCAATTGCATGATGAATTCGGATAACAACCGTTTCATTAAATATTCATGATAAACTTGGAAAATTTTATTTTCAACAAATTGATCACTTTACCGACTTCGGAAGGATGGACGGCTGAGTTGGCCGGGGTCGGCTACCCGGATGAACCTGCAGAAACTGCAGGATTCGAACCCAGGTCGTGGGAGTAGTAGAAGGACTCTCTTTCTCTCTCTCTTTATATGTGTATATATATATATATATATATATATAATTTTGGAAATAGAGCATATTTTATACATTATTTCATAAAATTTATACAATACTGTAGGATTGTATATATATATATATTTTTTATTCATTTATTTCTTCAAAGACACAAAAAGTAAACAGAAAGATACTTGTTATAGTGCCTTAGTGCAGAACTAAAAATTGTCAAAAATAATACGATGAGAAAAATAAAATGACCAAACTTTTGCAAAAATATACAGACACATTGCATGTATTCATACATACATACACACTTACTTATTTAACCATATATATACAATACATACATACATATATATTGTTTATTTTCTTCAAAGATACAAAAATAAACAGGAAAAAACTCGTAATACTTTATTAACCAAAAATGTTCTACATATATATATATATATATATATATATATATATATATATATATATGTATATATATATGTATATAATTATATATATCTATGTATATATATATATAATATATTTATTTATATTTATATATACATGAGTCCTAATTATATAATATCTCAAAACTCGTTTAAGTGTTGAACATTTATGCTCATTATTCGCATTTGAAGAAAATGTTAGGTGTTATGTTCTGGGTTGTTATCCTAATTCCTCACACGAATGTTCAGACTCAAGACGTGAAGAGCAGAAATTTTGTTAGAGCAGTCAGCTATTTGCGACAAAAGAACAAACAAACTTTTGTTTACTTCGATGAAAATGCGGAAAATAAGTTGACCATTAACGCAAAATCTTTATCGGATTGCGTCTTGAAGTGCCAAGTAAGCTCACAAAATATTTTCCTTCAAGCTCAATCTGTCTGTCCCTGACAATTAAATTGAATTTGAAGACAGATATTAAATTATTTTTTCTTTTTTGTTGTCTGAATTGGATTTAACTTTTCAGAGTAGAATCATATTTTGACAGGTTTCAACTGGATTCGAAGCAAGAGGAATAAATTATGTTCATTCGTCGAGGTCTTGCTCGTGTTTCTGCAAGAGAGGTTTTGGTTGGAATGTGACAGTTTTGAACAGCACAGATTCCGTTGCGTTTGTAAGTCACGGTAAGCTGCTCTGCTTATAATGCTTCCATTTGTTTTAGGAATTTCAGCCTTCATGCAAAATGCTAAAAATCCTAATTAAAATTGATTGATGAGTATTAAATTTATTGTAATTAATTTCCCAAAAACACTTGCATAAATTTATGACAAAATTAAATAACAAAAAACAGTACAAATTTTTTACATATGCACAGATTGTCCTGTCAAATTTGACTACCTAATAGAGCAGCACAAATGTTACAAGATGCAGTACAGGAAGTTGAACTGGTACGACGGCAGAGCACTGTGCAACAGCTTCTCCTCATCCCATCCCATCACACTCGACGATGAAGCTGAAAATGACCTCTCCATTCTCTACGTCAGATTTACTATTCCAAGTGTGTTTGAGGAAGTTTTCTCGCTAGATTGTTCTTAACTGAAAAAATTAAAATAGCTTACATCGAATAAATTATAAATATCATCACAATCATTTACAATCCTATAAACTATTGTACATATACATACACGAGGCTAGGTTATGCGATGTGTGCAGTCTCATACGACCCCTCACTTTATGCTTTCTATACATCTGGCATTCGCACCTACTTCAACGGGTCGAGGACACCTTTCCTTTGGAGCCCCTACCCGAGTGGGTTTTGAATAAATTATTTGAAAATTTTATTTGAAATTTTTATTTTTTATTAAAGCATACAGAGATTAAATGTAAATTATTATTATATCAACACCCTTATTATAGTTCATTTTATAATTTTTATGAAAGAATTGTTTTAGTTAAGTTAAATTGTTGATTTTGATGTATCTGATATTTTCAGCTTCATTAATTTGTTCTTCTTGGCTTTCATTGAACAAATTAAACTAGGTCTATAAATCTGTGAGAACTTAGTTGAGCCAAATTATTGAGAAGTTCTCATGAGGAAGAAACCTCGTCAACAAATGTTTCGGCCCTGAACAATCTCCTAACATTCTCGGGAGACCGGGCCACGTTTGTTGATCACTCAAAACATTTCTCGAAGATGTTGATTTTTCAGCGGTGTTGATCTGCTATTTATAAAATTATATTATTTCCATATAAAGTCGTGTCACTGTAGCCATGGCTTGCTAATTTAGCAGACGCTACTTTTTATTCCTGTCCAGTCACAACCAATGCGAAGCCTGCTCTGTGCTACTAATAATTTTCTTCAGGCCTGCTGTACGCTTCCTGCCTGACAGTCCCACCTCTTTAAAAAGTATGTACATTGTTTCTCTTGCGTCAACCTGAACAGCGTAAGAACCTGCTTAGGTTTTGTAACGTACGTTAATAGGTGTACGTTAAAACGTGTGTGTAGTTTTGAATAGGTGCAAAATGGATTCTGGTTACATGCAGCAATTGGCACCATCTGTAGCCGTTTTAATTTGACCAGTTTGCTTACTCAAAAGTCAAAACTCACAACTTGCTCGTCAGATACTCAAAAGTCTGTACAAACAATTGTAAGTAAGAAAACATCATTGAAATTGAAACACAACAGATAAATTTTACGCTATGCGAGATGTGACTGCCTGGCGCTCCGGGGAACCCAATTCTCCAGCTAATGGGAACGACTACTGCGTGGAGAGCATGCAAGTTGGAGACTTCGGGTGGGATGATGTCCTCTGCACCTGGCTTCTCTGTGTCTTCTGTGAAGTTGATCTGCCAAACTGATCCGAGTTCTATCGATTGTTAGTGATGACCGAACTTTAATATTATTTATGAAAATTTATTGTTTTGCTGTTTATGTATAAATTATTTATAAAGTATTTTTGGCACAATATAATAATTTTTTATTTTTTAAATTTTTTTGATAACAATTTTTTCTTATAATTACAATAATAGTTATAATAAATTAATAATAATAATATAAATGTATATATATATATATATATACATTTCTTTGATTTCTTTGTTTTGATTTGATGAAATAAAAAATGTCAAAAAATGTCAAATATATATATATATATATATATATATATATATATATATATATATATATATATATATATATATATTTTACAATATTCTATAAATTCTACCGAATGTTGGCGTAAT